ATTAATGTAAATAATTAATCATCCATTGATAATTCACCCAACATCATAATTTTAGGATATAGAATACAGTATAAACCAAATAATAATAATAATTGCCTTCAGTTGTGACCAAATCCTTAACTTCAACTAATAAAATAAATAAGTTATTATAAATAAAAAATAAAAAATAATAAATAAAAAATAAAATTAATAAATTTACCAGTAAAAAGTTTAATTGGATTATTGTTAGATTTTATTGCTAATTTCAACTGTTTTAAAAATACATAAAATTTCATTAATTATTCATTTCTTAACCATTTACTTAAATACTCTTATATATTACCTTTGTTCCATTCCACAATTTCATTGGTCTCATTAATTTCATCAACCACATCCATCATTTCTAAATCATTTTCTTTACCATTAGAATCTAATTTTAATTGAAAAATTAAAAAATTAAAAAATCTCAGTTGATTAATTAATCATAATAAAATTTAATTACTTTTATTATCATCAATTTCAGAAACAACTTTAGATACTGGTCCAAGTTCAAGTTCATATTGTAAACTTTTATATTTAGCAATATCATCATCTGATATTCTGCTTGAATGATCAATTACTTTGGATATTGGTCCAAGTTCAAGATCATGTTGTAAACTTTTATATTTAGCAATATCATCATCTAATATTCTGCTTGAATGATATGCTAATGGATGTGATTTTTGTATTTGTTGTGAGTTGCTTGTAGTAGAAATTATAGTTTCATTACTTAAATCTTTAATTTTATAAATTTTGGTTAAATAATCATGAGCAAAATCATAAAGTTCTCTAATAGTTGGTCTTTTAGATGGGTCAACATCCCAACATTTTTGCATCATTTTTGCATATTCTTCTGGAATATTTGATAAAATTGGTGGTCTTAAACCTTTACAAATTTCCATAATTAAATGATGATCATGTGCTCTATCATCAAAAGGTGGATGTCCTGAAAATATCTCCCACATCAACATTCCAATGCTATATACATCTGATTCTTTTGTATTTTTGCTTGTTTTTCGAAAAATTTCAGGTGCAATATATGATATAATTCCATATATTTTGTTTGATGATTCATCATCAACTGGCCCACATAATCCTAAACTGTGATATAACAGCCATATCTTGTACTAGAATTAAGGTTGTGGGCGAAACTCGTCCAGAAATCAATCGACTGAGTTTCGACAGGTACACATTAATTGTTTATTAGAGTTTCGGCAGAGTTTTGACAAGGTATATACTAATTGTTCATTAGAGTTTCGACAGAGTTTCGACAGTCGTTAAGAGGTATCAGCAAACAACCATAACTAGAATATTACCATTGTGTAAATCACAATGTATTAAATCTTTTTGATGTATATCATTTAATGAGTCACATAAATATTTAAATATTGTAATTTTATCTTTAAAGTTAAATTTGAATGATTTTTTTGCAAATAATTTCTTAAATTTCCTTCTGGAAGATAGTTTAGAATCATTGCATAGTTGCTATTTTCTGGGAATTTAGTTATACCATAACAGGAAACAATACCTCCAAATTTAATTTTAATGCTTGAGATTATATGAAAATCAATTAATATATTTTTTTTTAATTTAAAATAATTACTACTGACCTCTTCAAAAAAATTTTTCCCCAATTCATTTGAATTATTTAGTAGTTTTTAATGCTACATCATGAGATCCATAATGATTAAATTCTTTTTGTTTTCATCATAGTCAAATATATGCCTTTTTTCCATGTGGCAACATAAATACTACCAAAACCTCCTTTAGTTAAATATTCCACTTCTTCGAATTGATCAAATAGAATCCATTCAATAATTTGCGTAGGAAGAGATGAGAGCTTTTGACATTCTTGAATAAAATTATCAATGATGATATTTCCTGATGACCATGTATCAAAAAGCTTCTGTAAATGTAAACAAATACAGTTTTCACAAAATCTGACTGAATATCTGCATAATTTGCACTTGTTACATTCTTTTACTTCACCCCATTCATGAATTGTATTATCTAATTCGAATACATAAACAAATATTTCTTTACAATATTCCTTTTCATTCTTTAAAAGCTTATCATTTTCAGCTACAAGTGATAAAAATGCAGCCTTTTGGATCTCTCTGATAGATGTGTTTGATGAAGAATTATCAATTAATTCAGAATAAGTTCTGTACACAAAATCTTTCTGTCTGATGATAATGACAATAATAAACTTTCAAATGACATTTTTTTTTAGTTTTATTATTATTATGAATTGTTGTTTTCTTATCTTCTTTGGAGGTATTATTATTTATTAGTATGATATAATAAAAATAATGTTTTAATCTATGAAGTTATACACAGCCTGCACTAAATAAAATAACAGATAACTAAATGTGTGTGAGGGTCCTTTGTTTTGGCTAGTTTTAAAAATAGTCAAAAATTATAATAAACGCGAATTTAATGGAAAAATTTTTAAGATCAATGTAATTTAATAATAATGATAAAGATGGTATATTAATAGGGATAATGATTGGATTTAAATCTTTGGGAAGAAAAACGTTGAAAGGCAAAATTTTTTTAAAAAAGTAACAAGATAAAGATGATGATGATCTAAAAGAAAAGGAAAAGGAAGCAATTTAATATTTATTAAGATCGTTTTCAAGTATGCAATAAAAAAAATATCATAAGTAATAATGAAGTCATAGTGACAATTAAAAGTAAATACAAATATTTTGCTTGCCTACTCACGTTATACTGTAGATGTTATCAATTGAAAATTATTTCTTCCGTGGTAAGTTTTTTTTTGGTTATATAGAATGTTCTAAATATCACAAATAGAAAGTATTTTAAATGTAAAAAAATG